AGAAGCGAAATCATCTCAAAATTGCGATTTCAATCGCTGGAACATATTAGTGGATTGAGGCTTTGACTTGGTGGAGTCAAGTGTCATTTGATTCCGGTTGAGGTGGAGTTTGAACATGTTCCGCGTCAACGAGTATGACGGGAACGCTTTATGGCCACTTCTATGAATGTTTATGGTTGAATTATATTTTATAATTGTTGCTTTTTTAAATGAATTATGAGAGATTTTTTAATAAGTACAATATTTACATATGAAGGCGAATATTTTGGTGGTACTTGTTTTTAAAATTGTTTTAGTAATCCAATATTTTTGATATTTATTTATAATTTAGTGTATTATCTATTCCTTCTTTTTATAATTTATAGATTGTTTCATGACCTTAAAAAAGCTCCGTGCCGTTTTTTAATAACATATCATTTAAAATCGCAATATTTTATTCAGTAATTTTATTGTAACTCAATTTCTTTACACTGAATAACGACAAATTAATATCTTTGGTTGAAACTAGATGGTTACGCTACCATCCAAGCGCCCTCAAACGTTGATCCTATACAACAATGGGACACCATGAAAGACAAAGTAATTTAAATCATTTTACTGTTCAAAGGACGTCAGGCAGCGTCACCGTCGATCGATCACATCAATATCTGCATAGCGTAGGGCCTTGACACGACAACCTACACTTGTATCATTTTACACATACATAACCCGCGAAATGAAAGTAAGCATGACACGGTGTTAACCTGCAAGCGTTATTTCACCGTGACTTGACTATCAACTGAATAGTTTGACTCTACTTTGATTTTATATAAGACTCTCCATTTGAGCTTCATCAGTTGAAGTCATGGAAATGATATTAGCTTAGAATGAGAGCGTTTGTTTAACATAATTTGGATTTATTTTGAAAACTGTTTTTCCGTTACGTTTTCAAAAAAATATTGTATAAGTACATTTGTTACAATTTCACAATGATAGCAATATCTTTAATATTTAATTATATTATACACAAGTTGTTTCAATTTTAAAAACAAGTAGTTTCTTTACAATTTTTGTTTCCTATTTTCAAAGAAAAGCTTTAAACTGATAAACACTAAAATGTTGTTTTCTATGAAAGAACCATTTCGAACAATAGAAATCGACTCCTTTCTATTGCTGTCTCAAGGACATTAAGCATTATAATGGTTCTTAAAGGAAATTTCACCCTAAACGACGTAAGATTGATTTGAAAAATTTTTCATCGTTCTCAACAATATTCGCTCTTTGACTTGAAGTTACATGTAAATTATATAGTTTTTGATCTTACTATGTAGTTAATTCTTGATAAAAACAAAAAAGATCAATTACATAAATATGATAACATCACGAGCAGACGAGATGTGATCACGGTTGCTGCAAAGTAACCGAAAGTTCAGGAGTAGGTATGTGTTTTTAACAATAATAAAGTACGCGTAGATCCGAAAATATTAATCCATTTAAATGAAGACTCGCGAAAGTCTTAGATCTCATTAGGAATTAATTATTATATATTTATTTAAAATATCATTCTAATAAATACAGCTGGAGTCCTGCGTCGTTTCTGAATTTTGGTAGAGTATCTTTCAGTAAATAAATTTGTAATATTGTATTCAAATAACGTATAGTATTTGTTTAAAATTGGTGTTAAATGTAGCACATACAGGAGTTTCCATTAAAGATCTGTTACAAGCAAGTTATAATTGTCAGGTACGAATGGAAACCAACGTAAACATAGCTTTTTCAAGACAATTAATCTGCACAAGTTATTTTATTGCAGTAAAAGAAATATATATAAATACAACTGCCCAAAAAATTATTTCATTTTGTAGATTGTTTTGAATCATATATTTGGCTTAATCAAGTGCTCTAATCAATTATTCTCAATTGTAAATTGATAAATATATTGAAATCAATAATAAAATGTATTTTCTAAGTAAAGAGTAAACTTAATGTAGGTTTAAAACGTTACTGAGGTGTAAAGTTCAGAATATGCAATTTTTACGGTCGCTATTTATTTATACGACTGCAAATTGTTTAACCGGGCTTGATGTAGACGATATCTGTTGTCTGAAATGGTGTATGCGAATTTAATTCTTATAAATATCGTAGCAGAGTTTGGATTTGTTTGGTTGGTATTAAGACGTTAATATAGATCGGGTGTCGTATGGTACATTTTGCGGCGAACGACGGTAATGGCTTCCGCCAGATAGCTGAATGGGGCTGTCAGCATTCTTTCGATATACTTCTGTTTATCAATTTATTTAATAAACTAACCGAGAATTGAAAATGTACTGTTATTATGACAGTTTATGACCAATTTGACGAAATAGAAGATATAAAACTTCAGAATTTGGTGGTAACTGGTATAGAACGAGTTAAAAATTTCTATGGGGCAGTGATTGACCGCAAAACAAGAATTTGTACTGTCAAATATGTAGCCATGTGATTGTTTAAGTGTTAGCCTCTAATTAAAAAAAGGTATATGTATATGTTTAATTATTTGATTCACTTCATTGGTGAATCTGTCACTGGATACTAACAAAAAAAAAGATTGATTTTGTAACAGATAGGACACAAATTAAGAATACAAGTAATCTTTTGTATTGAAAATTAATGTTATGATAATCTCAGAACGATGTAATGTTTTTTTTTTATATTTTGCATGTGCGAGTAAGTAAGTAATTTTCGTTACGGGTAGAAATTTAAAAGCATACTTTTATAATGTGAGGTAATTTTTCAAGGTGTGTTTAAAAATAGGAAACATTAAAAGTCAATTACTTTATGTTTAAAAAACTTTCCATCGATAAATGTTTACAGAAAAAAAAAATTAATTCACTAATAATTATAATAGATCAAAATCACAAACGAGACAACATAGATATTTAATTAAAATTGTAATAATTAAGTTAATGAATTTATTTACTTCAAATATTTTTTTCATCCTATACATTAGCGCCCTACGTAAAATATTGTATAACAGTACTGAGAAGAAACCTTATTGAATACAACTAATATAGAAATAATATCAACCATTCGTATAAATGAAACCTGACAAGAATTAAGCTGGGACAAATAAAATTTTAGGGTTACGTTAATGTCACAATATATTTTTTGTATTTTCTATATGAGATTAGCCAATCCTTCTCTATATTTCTCAGTTTAAAAAAAAAACGATTGAAATTTTCGAAATCTATAAGAAAACCCAATAACTAAAAGAATCGAATTGTCTATATAATAAATAGACTATAATAAAACTTCTTTGCCCTTCTAAAATTTACTAAAATAGACTTGAGTTTAAAGGAATAATAACTTTTAAATGATTTAGAGCCTGAAAATAAATTGACGAGAATAATTTTTATTATAAAAATATTTCACATACATGAATATCCACAAATATTGATTTCCAAAATCAACTATTAAGGAAACAAAAGTTTTCGAAAAGAATATAAAAAAAACTTGTATACATAGTAATAATAATAATCATTAAATGAATCTGATCATAATTTTCACGAAGAAATATTATTGGTACGGTAAAGCCGAAACTTTACTCAATTTGCGTGTCAAGAGAAAATTAAGCAAGTTACAAGGACGGTTAACTGCTTCAGTTATTTGTGAGTATCTTAAAAATAATTTGGAAAAAAAATTACGACCTTTATGTAAGTAAAAATATATGAAAGGGGAAGGTAAGAAAATTATCTTACATTAAGGATATAAGGATATTTCTTGATGCTTTTTACAGGATTTGGAAATAATATTTTGTTACGTTATAAGTTTTGATAGTATTTGTAATGAGTTCACGAGCGTTATAACGACGTTAAATTCTAATCTTCCATAACACATGTAACCTTAATGCATATAAGTTCAAACATAGCAAATTAATAGTGTTGAAAATTCATGAAACTTAGTCCCCGAGATTACTTGTTTATAGAATATGCAACAAGCTATCACATACTTGTAAATATTCCGAACCAATGGCCATGTAGAATTCTGGATAGAATATCGCATAGTATTGTTGTATGGGAACAATAGATGAATGCTTTGGACAGCAGTTACTGATGAATTACTTGCGCGAGCGCGTTAGCCCATCGTTGAATATAGAAACTAGGTTACTGTTGGGGAGTTTTTTTGTTGTTTTTGTAATAAATGTGAATAGTACAATAGTGATATAAACCTTGAAAGAACAAGGCTGGCTGTTTGAAAAGACAAAATTTAAATACAATGGACTTGACGAGAAATATCACGACGATGTTGACTTTTTGTCTGATTATATCTTGAACACAATGTGGTTTTGTTAGAGCATATAATAAGGCACAATATTTTAAAACTATGTCAAGCACGTTGACAAAAATCATTGCACATATATCATGCATGTAAGCTATATAAACTAATACATACCCATGAAGCGGGCGGGTATCTTGGGAATGGTGCGATCGGTTTCGTCGCCACATTGCTGGGTAGTTCACTCTTTATTCCACGTTTCAGTCGTTGTTTTCTTCTCTCCCGCGATTTGGCTCTTAGCATAAGAGCTGCCTGCATGCTTGCCAGCTTTGAGGCCGTTACGAACCGCGGGGGGAAAATTAATCTTAGCGCTACCGCTAAGACACTCGTATTTTGTTAAAAAGCGCTATTGTTTTTGTGACCTTTTATGTTAATTCGAGCAATATTGGAAAACTAATCTAGCGAACCTATTCTAATATTTAAAACAGCAGAAAGAGAAATATGCAATAAACACCGATATCACTTTCAATCAAATCTCATCACAGTACTGAAGATTGTTAAATCTCACTAGAGATGTTTTAGAATTGGTTTAAGATAGGCACGTGAAAAGGCGCGAAACTATTATATTAAATATATTATAATAAATTGTTTTGTAGTCTTACGATATGTTTAATGTGAGAACGATATTGGAAGCAAGCGCAATTTGGCGTTACACGTTCAGTGTGTCTAATGTCCGTTATTGTTATGTTTGTTTTATTGCGATGCACTCAAGTCTCGTTCCGCACGTCGAGTCGCAGTCTCTGATTCTTCAACACCTGCCACCGAACACTCTCCGATAGATGTCTCTGTTTCATGGCCGGCCTACTTTTGTCACTTGGATAACCAACACTGCCATATAGCACATGTCACTAACGTCCATACAAGCACGCTGCAATCAGCATTAATAGAGCCTCGATAGGATTACGCGTAATCAAATTAAAGGTGACCCCAAACATTGCATTGTCTCACTTCATGCGATACAAATTAAAATAAACATTTACATCAAATACTATATTTACTTAAGCTGATACTTACATAACAATATAATTATGCGACACACGATAAACCATCTAATGTGAAGTTGATCGTGTGCGTTCACATCAATGCACCATGCGTCTATACATCGAGAACGGCTGAGCATTACATGACAGTACCTCGACGAGTTCGCATGGCGAGTGTTGGTCGAGTGTGGTCGGTCTGGTCGGAGCCTGGAGGCGGGATTCCCAGTGCTGGCATGAGTAGGCTCGAACGCCGGTTGGCGCTGGGTGGACGGGGCTGTGGCTTGGGCTCGGCGGCGCGGGCTGGCGGCCGTGTTGGCGCGCCTGCGACATCAAGCACATTTTAATACATATAAACAATACTAAAACTATCCAAGTTCAATATAAACAACACTAGAAGAAAATTCAAATAGATCAGAACACACGTATAGGCATTCACTACAACATTCTCAAACAAGTGCCTAGGTTTCTGTTATGAAGGTTTCAGTGCTGTGACGTATGTATATCGTCTGACTAATGACATGATGGTATTAAAACAGCAAATAGATCAAACAGTGTTCAAAAAGCCGGTAAATCGAATTGTGATATATGGCATTCTTGTCTACATTGGAAGGGGCAAAGAGGTATTAAAATTAATTGGAATAGGAATTTACCTCGAATACATTATATCACAATATATACTGTAGATTAGTAACACATTACACTGACCGAAATTTAAGTTAAACATCCATATTTGGTTGGTATTCTGCTTCCATATCCACCTGATGGATTTAATTTTATCTGAATATATATTCTTGTCAACCACAAATTTATCAAATTCACTTTTAATGAATAATATAATTAAATTTAGAATAAAAACAAATTTTGTAAAATTTATAAGTGTGAACTTTGCATCGCATTAATAAAATACAAACAAAAAATGTTGGCAGTTTTAAATACAAACTTTTTTAATCACGATCTCTTTAATTAAATGTCCAATACATCACTTGATTTTGTTTAAATTACCTCACTTCTATACATAAAGCGACTCTTAGTTCAAGACTGTTGATGTAAAATATATCTTATACTATTGTAATAAAGATAATAATTGTATACCTTTCGGCCCGCGAGCGACGCGCCGCCCGCCGCCGCGTACATGCACCGCGGCTCAGCCCGCTCACATCTAGCGGCCGATAGCGGAGCACCAACGCGCCGCCGCTCCGCTCCTCATCTGTGCCTCTATCCTTGCCCTACACCTATGACATTCAATAGAAACTGTAGCATATCATTATTACCAGCTGGCCAGAATGTTGTAGTGCATAGAGGTTAAAGGCCCACCTCTCGTGCGGGTTCAAAACCTGGCAAGTACCAATGTGATTTATCCGAGTCATATGTACTTTGTAAGAGTATTTAGACACCACTTACAGACGGTAAAGGAAAACATTGTGAGGAAACCTGAAGTTATCATTACAAATTATAAGTTTTAAATCGCCAATCCGCATTGAGCAAGTTTGGTGATTAATGCTCAAACCTCAGAAGAGGCCTCTGCTTCAGCAGTGGGATCTGATAGGCTGATGATTATATTATATGTTCAAACAAGAAAGCAGAATAGTTTCGATTCCAAACCTTAATGTACCCTTTAATATAATAGCGTTTTGGGTTTCAGCTTTTGTACCTGCACATATAAGCAAATAAACCATATCCTGAATATAATTTCCGTACCGCATAAGTATTTTACTATGGACATACCTATAACTTATTTCCTTCCCTTATCCATCATGACATCTGAATAAATTCATTCACATATTATATCTACCCATCTCTTATACGAGACGTCCATCAATCACTCACCCGTTATCATGATCATTCTCTCTTTCATAAAAGTGTATAAAAACTAAAAATTTTGTTTATACGAAGTTTTTTTTTAATTTTCCCCCATTCGGGAACTAAAATTGGGATCAATACGGCGTATTTAATCAACACGAAACGTTAATATCCATTAGTGAAGTTGCTTTTTAAACGAATATTGCGAACAACAAGACTTCAAAACACTAAGTAACTTTTTGCTTTATAAAATTTTTCCGAACCACAAAAACCTCAGCTTACTTTAATTTAGATTAATAGGTTATATTCAATTATTTTGATCGATACTAGGTATAAATAAAAATGTGAAAAAGTGTATGCATGTATCAATGTCGTACATAAAAAAGAAATGTTTTAACTTAGCTAGAACTTTTTAATTATAGTAATAAAGATCACTCACTATCTTCAATATAATCTAAGTAACAAAATTGACGTTGTTTACAATATTATTACGACGCTCACAATATCTCAAGCCAGGCATTTTAATGAGGAGCGAAGAACCTAATGAGCTAGACTATTCTTCTAGCAAGACCCATTCTAATTAGAGAATAACGTAGGACTCAACCATTTAACATAACGCACTTATAAAAAGTTTATAACTTTGATGTAAAATGATTTTATTTTTAAACTAAATCTTATATATAAAATTCTCGTGTTGCGGTGTTAGACAGAGAACTCCTCCGAAACGGCTGGATCTATTTTGATGAAATTTTTTGAGTATATTGAGTAGGTCTGACAATCGGCCAACATCTATTTTTCATACCCTTAAGTCATAAGGGTTTTCACTTCAATAAAAAATAATGTAGCATTAAAAATACATACAACCCAAAATTATTACTTTTTAATCACCAACCCCTATTTTTTATAGGGCCAAAACAACGTTTGTCGGGTCGGCTAGTTTCACTATAAATATTATATATATGTAATAGGTATTTTCATTATATTTGTTTTAAATTCTTTGTTATGTCTTAACTGGAGTATTTTAAAGTATTACCAAAATATGGTTTATAGCTTACGTTAAATAGACTCAAATTTTCTACTAAAAGGTATTGGTGTTTGCCAAAAATCAATTTCATGAATTCACTCTAATGGAGCTTAATAAATAAAATGTGGAAAATTTTTACGTGTATCATGAAAAATATTAATTAACGAATGATGGATATTCACAATATCATTCTCGTGGCAACGCCTAGTTATGTATTTGAATATTAAATAAGTATTTACACGCGATCAATATTACAGTATGTCATAAAAACTGATTATACTTTACTATATTAAAATTATTAAAACATAAGGAGAGAAAAGGTGCATAAACGAATAACTCAATAATATGAAGGAAACTCTTTTTTAGTTCTTATTTTCTCAGTATTTGTAAACTTAATTTCTCCATACTTTACACTCATGGGTAAACTAATCTTCTCCATGGTAAACCCTTCTGTATGAATAATATTAAAAGTTTAATGGAATAAATAATCAAACCTTAGCTCAGTGCTGTTCTAAATTAATATCATTACCTTTAATTTGTAAACTTCAAAGCCTATGAGAGTTGTGTTACAGATGACTTGACCTTCTTGCAATTCCTAAATTAGATTTTTGTAAGAAGCTAGCTCCCTAGATCCTACTTATTACTTATTTATGTTTAATATGTATTAACGCAATGTTTTACTTTCTTTGTTTTCTGATTTGTAACATTCCCTTTCTGTACCTAGTCTCCTATTTTATTTATTGATGCCTACAATTTTGATTTTGTTTTAAACCATGAGATTAAAAATAACATAGTTTGTATACCCGAATGTGCTTGTATCGAAATTCATTTCTAAATCCTTATATACAAAATCACATTTTGGTAACTTATTTAAATTTTTATAATGAATAAAATAGCCAAACAGTCAAGCAACAGTTTTAGCATATTTATTTTATTGCAAATATATCATAGATGAAAATGAAAATTAAATGAAAACTGAAATACACATCAGGTAGAAGTAATATGCGAGAATAAAAAAACTATATTATACGTTTGTTATTTGATATTTTTATCACGTTTACACTATCGAATTATTTTCGGTTCAAAAACCTCCAACCTTCGCGAAAGTTCATGGAAATATATGTAGATTGACCGATAGCTATATTTTGGTGTTCAAGTAAATCGTGGAAAAATAATTAATTAATAGATTTAAGACTTTTATTAATTTAGTACATTTTAGAAGAAAAAACTAAAAGTGTCCATTTAAAACTATTTAACACATAGTTATTGAACTGCACACTCACTTTTTGGCCTATTTTGTACATAGATGTTATTGCATATTAAATGAAACAAGATATTCCCAAAGTATATCATTAGAAATATAATATGTGAAGTTGGATAATGAATGAAAAAAGCAATAAATAACTGATATTAAACAAAGTACTTTATAATAATTGCATATAATTGTCGAGACCGTGTGATTCAGTCGCAAATGTGAAAGCTTTTAGCTGTTTACTGCAGTTATAATCAGTTAAATTGATTCGTATTAAAATAAATGTTTTAGATATTGTACAAATCGCTTATTTTCATCGCTTTCTTGCCTGTTATCTAATATAATACCTCTATTAAAATATCGGTTCAAAGTTTATTGACATTCTTTTAGAGATCGTATGTTTAGGAACAATATTTTAATTATTATTATAAACACGAGCTAATTTATACCGTTGGTAGATTTTATGCTGTATTTCCAGTGCCACAACTTATCTTTAAAACAAATCGATATCATTTGAATAAATTATAGATGAATTAGCTGTTTAATGCGATTTAAGCTATGACACGGTTTTGATGTTGAACTAAATTTATTTTGAACATAATTTTTTGGCCCATATATTATTTATTGTATATATTTGAATAAAATAACTGACGAAAATCTCAACAAAATATCCATTTAGAATTCAAAAACATATTTCCATTCACGTATCAGTATTGCAAATTTTGAGTGCCACTGCATCTTGATTAAATTTGAAAGTATTTTCCAACACGATACATCTAATGCTACACGTCGAAATACAAAGAGCTTCATTGTTATAGAATTACAAAAGAAAACAATCTTGATTAAGTTGTTACGAGTGCACTTTAAAATAAAAAAGCGAGGCCTCGGAACTGGGTTGAATGATTTCGAGTGATGATCGAAACCGTCTCGACTTTGAAGGCTAAGGTGCTGAGCAAGCGTTCGAGGACCCAAGTACTTATAAAGGCATGTCTTACAAACCTGAAGGGTTTTCACGTGAAGATACCACTAAGACTAGACAGAGATTGTTCTTGAAAGCCAAATTTAGAACTTTGAAAAGTTCACGAATGACGCTATGTCACGTTTGATAAAATAAACAGATTTCTCTGTTCTTGTATCGATTCTATTCAGGTTCGTTAACAAGAATGATTTTGTTATGTTATATTTAATATAAAAAAGTAGTTGTTAATGTTTTAATACATGACATGTTTTAAATTTCAAAAACAGATGGTTACATCGTCGTTTCATTTTTTTGGGTAAAGTAAGACCTTTTTTCTTAAAAGTCTGAGTAATTGAAACCACTTGTATCAAAATTTTAAGAGATTAGGCTATAAGTCGTAACTGTGGAATACCTTTAGTGATTATAACATAATCTATACATTTATAAGTGTATCATGAAGTGCTGCCACATCTTAGCATTCAATTTTCTTTACAAAAGACGGTGGTTTTTGAATTCCTTTGAAAATATACCTCTTTATGATTCAGATGACCTTAAAAATTATATTGTCAGTGTTTCATTGTAGTTGATTTCAAATCAATAACATCTACAGCTCGAGTCACAGACAATCATCATTAAATAATGTTATTTCAAATCTTCCCTAAAACAATAACTTATAATTCTATATCATACATACATGTGTTACTATTGAAAACCTTTACCGCGAACTGATAGAAAACCGTTCATGCTCAAATAATTAATCGGATCTCGTAATATCAGCTGAAATTTTAGCTGAGTAATATTTATATTTTTAACGAATTCAGCATTCGAATTTGAGATTGATTAATACTATTAATTAATGTACGAATTCTAAAGTTTATTAGAGCGATTAAAAACGTATATGTCATCTATTCTACAAAGCTTAAGGTGATTAAGATGGAATGTGACAGTCATTTTATGACAGATTTGACAGAAAACATGATTCAGCATATATAACTTCAGCTTCATCATGTTAGAAATGACACGTTTAAAAGATAGTAATGAACTGTGGGCACTGGATTTAAAATTTTATTCAAAGATTTATAGCAAACTGTAAAACAGTCTCACACAAAATAAAAAAGGTAGATTTTCTTTGTATATCTAAAGATATGTATGTATATAAATATAATAATGTATATAATTAAGTTGCGATAACTTTTGTTTAAAGAAAAAATATGTATGCTTTGTAATCTAATTGTGTATATTTCTTCTCAAGAAATATGTACGTAGTAATTACATTATTTTAATAGCATATGTTACATATTGCATATTTTAATACTTATATCAAACGTATTAAAATTTCGCTCACTAATATGCTAAAATCTTAAAGAGTAATGAATTTTAATTTACGATCATGAGGCTCAAGCCAGAAGTAGTTCAGCCCTCAGAGACTGGCGGGTGAGTGTTCCTCAAACAAGGTTGCCAGTGTATAACATTATGGATAACTGATATTATGAATTAAAATAGAAATCCATACATTATTTACATCAAATTTCTAATTCACTTTATTTATTTATATTTCTTTAATTATTATTAACATTGTTTAATTATTACGAAATTTACTTGTTAAATTATTGTTTGTTGTATTTGTGTCGTTTTAAAAAAGGCAAATAGTTTCCGAAACGAAGGAACTAGAAATGGAATCAACAAAAATATTCAACGTTTATTATGAGAACGGTGAACTTATGAACATTCCAGGTTAATTGCCAGATTCTTTTTCAGTAAAGCGAGTAAGCACATAAACTTTTATTCCTTTTGCCATGCCTTTAAAGTAAGCATACTTTGTTAAAGTAATTAAAAGTATTTTAGCAGCTTTTTTGCGATGCTTAAAATTTAATTTATATTTAAAGTTATATTATTTGCAAAAATTACGTAATTACGTTGTATTTTCTTTTGATACATCAAGTATTGAGGCCATTTTTCATATATTAATTAGTTAAATGCGGTTTTCTCTTGAAATCTGATACTCCGTCTACGACCCGAATTAACTTGGCTTAACACCTCGGTGGAATGCTTTTAAAGCGAAGCCTTTCGCAGTGACTAATATGATAAACTGAATGACGAATAAAGGACAAACTATGCTATAACATTTTAAGAGTAAACAGTTACGAGTAAATGACAGCAGTTGAAATAAAATTTTGCTTTAAAATCAAAATGAAAGCGCTACAACAGTTTTAAGAATGTTTTTATTTACAATTTTTATATTCTTCTATAATAAAAATAAAATTACTTTTATCAATACGTTTTCCTTCAAAGCAACAACTGTGTGTAATGTGGATTTAATGACAGCCTTCCGAATAACAAACAACATATAAATTAAATGCTCCTTTTGATTTGAAAAATAATTTGACAATAATTTTATATTTTTATTGTTTCACCAGTTTTATTTTACTTTGATGATGCATACTGATTCGTATAATTATAGATAATGCCATATATTTGTTATCAAAAATTATATTCTTCAGCTTTATAATATGAAACAGAAAAATATTTCTATTTATATTAAATTGACTATCCCACCGGCTTTTCGATATATAAGTTGGACAAAACATTAACGTGTTAGGAATAAATAGAGACTTTTTATGACTTAAGGTTCTAAGAAATATTAGGTAATTGTATTTCATCATTATGTGAAGTGTAGTGGAATATTCATGCCTTTATAATGTCAAATTTTATACAAACATCCAAAGAAATCAGAAATACAATGAGTCACTCAGAAAAGTCACTCATTTTGGATTCTTGCCTCATAAACTAAATCTATTGACTTCTCTAAGGCATTCTGGAGTTATGGACAATGATGGCAGAACTCATGATAGTGAATTGAAAAACACAACTTGATAAAAAACTGATGACACAAACTTAAACCTTATAACACATAACTATTGTAGCTTCTTTAAAATAAATAGACTAGATTTCTTAGGTTGTGTCCGAGTAATGAAAATGCCTAAAAATAAAATTGATGCTTTAAATTTTATTGAATGGGCGTCAAACTTATAAATAATTATTCTATATTATGAATGATTTATAGTTATAAGTTTCATGTCAAAATATAATTAATAATCTATGGTAGTAAGATATATATGTATATAAAACTACACTAGTATGACTCCCTTCATTAGAGTAAGTTGTTAAGAATCAATATTCTCCAAACTATTTATTAAAAATAATATTCTGTTAAAATAAAATTTAAACGTAATAATATAGAATGAATTTTTTTCGACACATGGAATATTGAGCCCCATTTGATTTTATATATATTTTTTTGAGATTCCCTAAAATTATTTTACGATCTATATTTTCTAATTCAAATATTAGCTCAACATTGCTTTATTGGATAAAGCATAGT